AGATTAGGCACACTAATAATCTCAATTACCTTAATTAATCTTAATTAATTCTTTAGGGTGTTACAGCTCCACCCCCCTTAGGCAATTTCGTCCCCGAAATCAAAGCCTACCTCAAAGTGTGAACAGATGCGGATAATGCTCCTGCATCGTCGTTTCAAGCTCCCATGTTACTTCCTTAACTCCATGGTGATGCCATAATACTTTTACTAGAGGAATCTCACGATTACGCAGACTCTTTATTTTCCGATCAAGAATCTGAACTGGTGCCTCCTCGTACGACGCGTCATACTGTATCAGGACATTAAACCACTGTACTACGGCTTCCGGCTCAGGGTGACATTTCCGAAGCATGGAGACATGAAACACATCATGCACGTGAGATAATTCAGGCGGTAAGGCCAACCGGTAAGCCACCACTCCGATGCGTTGCACGATCGGGAATGGTCCCACATACCTTGGTGCAAGTTTCCCTTTCACACCAAACCGAACGACTCCTTTGCGTGGGGAAACCTTCAGCAAGACAAAGTCGCCCTCTTGGAATTCCAAAGGCCTACGCCTTCTGTCAGCATAACTTTTCTGACGACTTTGAGCGGTCAATAGTCGTTCCCGAATTACAGCTATCTTCTCATTATTCTCTTGAATGACTTCCGGTCCAGTGCTCAGTCAATCCTCTGGTTCCAACCAACACACAGGTGACCTACAAGGACGACCATACAGAGCTTCAAACGGTGCCATTCCAATACTGGCCTGATAGCTGTTGTTATAAGCAAACTCAACTAGATGCAGGTATTTCTTCCAGTTCCCACCAAATTCCAGAATACAAGCACGGAGCATATCCTCCATAATATGAATTACCCTTTCAGATTGCCCATCAGTCTGAGGATGAAATGCTGTGCTGAAATTCAAGTCTGTTCCCATGGCTTCTTGGAAACTCCTCCAATACCTTGCATTAAAGTGCGTGTCACGATCTGACGTGATAAACAGTGGCACTCCGTGTAGCCTCACGATGTGCTCCAGGTACAATTCTGACAGAATCTTCTGAGAATACGTCGCACAGAATGGTATGAAGTGTGTGGACTTCGTCAACCTATCCACCACCACCCAGATGGTGTCGTGCTTCAGCTCGGTTCTCGGTAGCCCCATCAGAAAGTCCATGGTGATGTGCTCCCATTTCCATCCCGGGACAGAAAGAGGTTGAAACTCTCCCGCCGGCTTCTGATGCTTAGCTTTAATCCGGAGGCAAGTTACACATTCTAGGACATACTCACGAATGTCTCTTTTCATGCCTCTCCACCAGTACTGTCTTTTCAGGTCCTGGTACATCTTTGTACTTCCCGGATGTATGGCATACCTCGATTTGTGTGTCTCTTACAGAATCATCTTCTTTACCTCACCTGCCTTAGGAACAGCAAGGCGGTTGCGGAAATACAAGACTCCATCCTCTCAGATTTTTCAATTCTCGAATTGTTCTCCATTCTGGATTCGAATCCAAATTCCTTGGAGGTGTGGATTCTGCCATTGATT